TTTTCGCCCAACACTCTACGCCTAACGTCAACATTACTTACCTTATTATACCACCTAACGTGAGAGAGAGATCGTAGACATCTATGATCAAAAGCAGTCAACCTTTTCATGTCTTCAACTCGTATTGGCCATGTTTCAGAGCCATAGAGAAGGACGGAGCGAACTGCTGAGCAGTACACGCGTCCCTTGGTTGATAGCCGGATGTCACGCCTACGCCAAAGATGGTGTAAGTTAGCGAAAGCAGTAAACTCGAGCTTTTGTGGAGGAGTCACTACGTCACATCTCTGTTAACGCGTTGTTTGAAAATGCAGGATTGATTCGGTCGCCTGTTACTTGTGAGTCCTCTGCTTATTATGCAGGATGCTCAATCTTTTCTTCCTGTGTCAATCACGCGGAATGGTTTTTTTCATGTACCAGGCTATTAGCCACAGCTATCGTATGGGGCTTGATTCTACTACCCAGTTACCCAGACTGCTGCAGTAGGTGGAGTGGGACTCAATTCTATGACCTATCATCAGTTGAAAACCGAGTGTTCAAGGCAATGAGCCACATCTCCAATCCTGCCTTCTATCTTATAATTTAATTGTATTTTTGTAAGGTGGTGGTTAAAATGTTACAGATTTTCACATTTATTTAGTCGACACCAGCAGGTGTTTCTTTACTCTTTGTATATACACATGACTTGTATTTAAAATAAGCTTATTCTTGTATTGTAAAGTAGGTTTATATTTACGATTATTTTAGCACTAAAGTATAATGAACAGTGAACTTATCGATGCGTTTACATGTGCATGCATGTAAGAGTACGCATGCATGCATGCGCAGTATTGTACTGTCGAATTTAATTGTTTTTATCATTACCTAAAAACAGGATATAAAACTAAACTCGGTTAATGTGACTGACTAACTGTTAAACTATGTATATATATATATATATATAGTTTATGTAACTAAATGTTTTTCTCATATTCCGTTTTTAACTACCACCTCCTATTGTACTTTATCTGCAGTGTTTTAAAATGATCAGTGCATTGAAACTGAATGATATCGTGGTATAACTGTCAGTGCTTAACTTTCAATCACTCAATCAATCAATAGTTAGTGTTCTATGCCTGTATTACTTATTTTGGTTGGAATAACGAACGACGCGGTATCACCCCACACACACACATATATATTTAGGGTTATTCATGGCCTAATACTCTAAGACACTTTTGTCTGTTAAATGGTTTACATGATATATATACATTTTTATATAGTCATGTTATAATCCCTACCTTTCTGGACAGCTTATTGTACTGCGTGTTTGTTTCGTATTATGCTTTACAGTTGATTCATTTTTGTGTGAAAAAGTTTCGAATTGTTGTGTGTGTGTATTGGTTATAGAAACTAAGAAAGGGGGTACTAATTGTTGTTATACTTTGTGTATGATTGGGTAACATTTCCTAGAATGAATTTTGTCATCATCGCATTGTTCTCCTGTTTCCAACTTTATGCATACCGGCATGCAATAAGCGATACTCTTGAATGATGTTTTGAGATTGCTGTAGTTCTTTTTATTTATCTTGTGTTAGTCAAAATCTGACTTTTACATTGTTAAAGCCAATTTATTTAGTTTTAGGTTAGTACCAAGTTCGTTATTCGACCAATTTGTTTACTTTACTGATTTATTTTGGACTGATAGAGCAGAATTATCTTGAGTAATACAATCTATAATATCCATCGTATACATCAGCTAACCAACCGCAGTTAGAGAGTAAAGATCGTAGGGAAATATTGTGATTTTGATTGTAATCACAGATGTATCGACGAGATATTCTAGTCACTATCAAATCTTGAAGCACAGGCATTTCTACCAGGCCGATGGTGATTTCACTTCGTCGATCTACAGGTTTTTCGACAATATCTCTTAATGAAAGAGATGTTCAACAAGTACGTCTTTATTCTGAATTCAATGAACAATTCTGGTCGTGGTTGGGACTATGGTGAGCGACCCTGTGAAATGTCCATATTAAGGGATGTTCATAGATGGCCTGTTCACGCTTGATTTGATTCAATCGTATAAAATATTTTCCTAGAGGAACATAGGGATTCAGCCGTGCGTCCCCATTGCGTTCGGTTCTCTGCTAGAGTCTTCATCTGGCTTCAAGTCTGCCCACACGTTTTCATCTCCTCTTCACATGACCTCCTCCAAGTCACCCTTGCACTGACGACCAACTCGCCGCTTCCCTTTCGGGTTCCAATCGAGCAATGGCTTGTCTAGTGATGTCACTTGATGCATTGTTTCCTCAGAGTATGGCCAATCCATCTCCATTTCTTCCTGCCTATTTGTTTCACAATCGGTTCCTGCTGTGTTGGTTCGCTCATTGCCAGAGATCTCTGTTGCTGATCTTTACTGGCCGGCCATCTGATCTTGAGTATTGAGCGAAGACAACTGTTAATGAAGGTCTGTAGTTTGTTTGAGATGTTCTTTATGATGCGCAGTGCAAGTCTCTGATCCGTATAGTGAGTAGCACTGACTTCACATTTGAGTTGAAAATCCGGATCTTATTTTTGATGCTGAGTGTTGTTGACCTCCACACAGACTTATTTATTTGAATAACTGTAGTTTCGCACTTCACTTCGTAGGATTTGACTTCTTTACGCGAGATAACTTATTTGGCTTAAAATTCACTCTCAATGTATTCGTGTTGACTGAAGACTCTGACAAGATGTATTAGTTTTTGAAAATATTTCGCACTGTGTCTCTCATCTTCCAAATATAAATTGCTACTTCAGGAGACTGATCTGCTTTTATATTCTTTAAGCAGTAATCTGGTTTTATACCTAGATTACTTCACTTACCTACAACAGATAGCATCAACTGTAGTACGCAGTATTCTAGGTATGGGTGTTCAGTACTATGGGTGAATAATGCAAACAGCTGGATTTTCCTAAAATATCTTCATTTCATTTGACTGACATTTCTGTTTCTCAACCTTGTTTTCACATTAGGTCTTGTGATACAGATTGGTGTTCACTGTGCTGTATGTGAAACTCTAGAACTACATATCTGCCTGTATACTTGATACAGAACTACATCTGTTAATGTAAGGAACAATGATCCTGCCTATCTGCCCACAATTTGATAGTTCAAACAAGGTTCATATCCTTCTGTTTTTTGTCGACTAATTGGAACTGTGCTGTGTTAGAGCAATAAGCCACTGCTGTTCAATTAGCTAGCTCACTTTTGCGTCCAACATACAAATCAGGGCTTCATATATATGTAGCTCTACCCGATCGAACTTATTACACTATAAATCTGCTGTATTATTTGTTATATTATTTATCAATAATTGTTTTAACAGTAAAAAAAGTTCTATACATTTTCTACTTCTTTTTTTTCTTTTATTTTAGTTGTATTGGCGTATTGTTGCGGTATTTAGAATCAGAGAAGTATACACCTGAACGTCTATGGAATGATATTAATCGTTTAGAATTAAGTCAAGATGTTGCTGATCGTATTTATCACCAGCTACCGACTGCCGATGAGATAAAAACCTATTTAAACTATGAATTCACTGAACAACGGCCTATTGAAGATCTTACAGATGAGGATCGTCTTTTATTGCATTTATGCAAAGTTGAACGATTAGGACCTAGATTGGAGATTATTCTGTTCATGAATTCTTTCGAGGATAATTTAAAAGTTGTAAATTCGGTGAGTAATTTTTTTTGCATAGATGTATGTATATCTTCAAGTATTGGTTTTGTAGGGATTTTGTTTGATTGCATGGAGGATTTCATCATGAGCTGACATCAGTTAGAGAACCACTGGAAAACCTGGGAGTACTGGAGAGCTGTTTCGTCCTAGTTTGGGACTCTTCATCGGTGCGCACTGTCGTGATATAAAAGGAGTGGTAAAATAATTATTTTCAAGTTAGATCATGGTAATTTGCTGTCTTACACTTTTCCCATCACAGAAAATGTGACCCGATTAAATAAGGTATTGTAGAGTTCTTGTACGTAGTCGTCCGAGCATACAGTCTTCCATAGTTGCTTCTGGTTCTATCCGATGAGATACGAGAAGAGAGTTGTGTATAGAGGGGATGTTCAGAGTCTGGAAAGATAATATTTGCTTATTTCTTGCAGGAATCCAAGTGTCTATGTACAATAGTATTAATGAGTTGGTTTAGCAACACCCCACTAGCCCTACTGACGGCTTTTAGTGCCCTATGCAGTATAACAAAGTCTTTCTTAAGCAGCCCAGGAAAGATTAAGGTGGGGAAACAGTAAAGAAGTATTGGCAGAATACAAGAATTAACAAACGGTAACAGTAGAGACGGAATGATACCAGATCGTCTTAACAACCTTACATAGAACGTCAAAGGAAATATCTTTCTGGAAACTAACATGATCTGGGAAGACCAGGAAAGGTGATCAGAGGAAATACACAGTTCAAGGTATTTAGCATTCGATTTGGTTTCAACTTCAGCGTCATCTATGATAGTGGAACCGTGCGAATTAACCAGTTCATGTAAGTCGCGCTTGCGTCTGAAAGTGAAATTAACCACCTGACATTTGGAGGGATGAAGCTTAAGACCATTTGACGAGGACCACTGACTAATTTCTGATAAAAAGTTATTCATTTTGGAACAGTCTGACTGAGAAGTAACAGGCATAGGAAAAGTTAGGTCATCGGCATACTTAACAAAATTGGCTTCGTCAGAATGGGGCAAGTGATGTAAGAAGAAGGAAAACAGGAAAGGAGAAAGAACAGCTCCCTGAGGAACACCAGCCAGAGTAAGTGAAGCAGCAGTAAACAGTGTACTGCTTCCTATCAGAAAGATAGGGATGCAAGCACTTTGTAATCCAGCACTGCGCTTCTGACGCAGCAAGCCTGTTTAACAAAAGAGGCCTGGGTACAGGGTCGAAGGTATATGTGTAATCTAGGAAGGCACACCGAACATATTTGGCACCTCTATCTAAACTAGAGGCAATATTATGATATAAGACGACGGTGGCATCCAAAGTACATCTACTATGCTTATAAGTAAATTGATTAGGGTCGTTGAAAACTTTCAATGAAGGTTCAAGGTTAAGCAAAAGCAGTCTTTCCATTATTTTTAAGAAAGGTGAAGTAATGGCTATCAAAACCAGGGTGTACTGGACAATTGTTTCGTCCTAATATAAGGCCGTTCATCAGTACGTAACCATGGCCTCACAGATGACCGAACCTTAAACCTTCAGGTTCCGAGGTTAGTTAAAGATTTTGGGTTTAATCTCCGGAGTGTGTGCAGATGGAGAGTCACAAACTAGGACGAAACAGCCGTCTACTTCTCCCTGGTTTCCATTGGTTCCCTAACTGATGTCAGCCGATGATCTAACTTGGATTCAATCAAATCTGTGCAAACCAACACTTGAACATAATTTGTTGTTGTTTCTGATTGTAGCAATGAAACCCAAGCATTCTTCAATTTTGAGCGTTATCACGTTGGTTACTATTTCTCAGTATTGTAGTGGAAAACTTCTTGGTAGTTGAAATATTCATGAAGTGTTCCAGTCTCCATATTGACACTACCGCTTACTGACACACAGGTACGTCCAAATGATGGAAACTTTCGAATTGGACGAAACCGATGTTCCTGATTCACTTGTCGAATGTAGCCGTGGGAACGACAGCGTGGTTGAAGCCAGTAGACTGACTGACTGGTTTTAACGTAGAACTTTGCACGGATGTGCAGCAGTTTGAGTTGCTACAATACATGTAGCACACAAGGCAAGAGAAGAGAGTAAACAGAGATACAAAAGACAGATAATAAACAGTGTGAGGGAAAAAGAATAGTAATATGGAAGAACAATAGAGTTTTATAGGATATGATAATTCACCAAGATTGAATGAATCTGCGTCATTGAGAACGATTTCAAGCCATATCACCAACTGTCTCCAGCCGTTGGTTCTTACCATCCCAAGGACCCCAACCAGGTGACCTACATCTCCCTACATAGCTCAAACTTACAGTCAAGGATTTCGTGGACTGACGAAGCCATGTTTTGGTTTGACCACCACCAACCACTAGCTCTTTTCCAACCTGATCCATCCTATGTCAGATAACACCACCCATCGAGGAAAGCGATGGATAGGGATGCATGCGTAACACATCTCCTAACCATCTCAATCGGTGTAACTTCACAACCTCATCGATTGATTTGCTCTCCTTACTTAACACTCGATGCCTAATCTCCATATTACCCACCCTATTCTCCCACCTGACATAGGAGATCAAACTCAGATACTTATGATCAAAGACAGCTAGCCTTATCATATCTTCCACTTTCAATGACTGTGTCCCACTCACAGCCATAAAGGACGACTGAGTGAACTGCTGGGTAGCACACACGTCCTTTGGTCGACAGCCAGCCGGATATTACGTATAGTAAGTTGGAGTATGTCAAGCGAGCCTTCTGTATTCATGCTGAGATTTCGTCAGCGATCAACCAGCTGGCGTTGGCTGATGCAACTTCCCAAATAAGTGAAGTGGTCAACAGGCTCTACCACTTCACTGCCACCTATCTTTAAGCTAGGAGTCAGCTAATAGCCTGACTGACAGACTTTGAGGAGCAAGAGGACAGGAGTACGTTAGACCGATGAACACCCCAGTAGGTCTCGTAGATGATTTATGTCTAATGTCTCACAAAACGGAAGATCTACAGGCGAAAATCAATAAAATTTGACGCAATAGGCAGCGAAGATACGACTTCAAATAAACATAAAGAAGACAGACAGAAAATAACAATGACGACAAACACCAGTCAGCATCAACGGGAGAAGCAAGGAATTCGCTTCTTTCACTTATCTGAGCAGCATCGTTTCACTGATAGGCGGCACAGGTGACGATATCGAAGGCCGTATCAGAAAACAAAGACATGCTTTCATTGAAATCTGTTTGAAAATCTACTCCACTCATTATAGAAGGAACCAGATTTGGATTTTCAATACGAATGTTAAGTCAGTGCTTCCATATGGTTCAGAAACTTGAGGTGTCTTTGCTCGCTGCAGAAGATGAGATGACTGGTTAATAAAGATGATCAACAAGGAATGGTGGTGACGAACCAATGAAGAAACTATTGGCTAACAAATGGAGTTGGATTGATGAACCTATGCTGAGAAGACCATTGAGGTATATCACGCGCTAGGCCGTCAACTGGCACTCGAGTGGGAAACGACGAGTCAGACTTTAATCTAAGAGCGACATGAAGGGAATAAAAGCATATGGGTCAGCCTACAAGGAGCAGAGGGAAATAGAAATGCATTGGTGAAGCCTTCCACTCAAAACTCAAGGAAATACTAAAAAATTTTATATTATCTTATTCGAAAAAAAATATTAAAAGCCTTGTGCAACAGATTTATAGACAAAGAGGAAAAGATTAGCCGAGTATAGTGTTGTAAGTATAGAAGATAAATGAGGGCAATACTACGTTTGTGTCAATACCGTCTACTGTAAGAATCAACACCTTGTTTCTACAAATGTTGGTACCGTACTATTGGGTGTAGCTAATCTCACAAGAAACAGTCTTTGTCGTGTTTTTCTTTTCTTCGTGGAATCAAACAGCAATCTGAAGTTTCCTGTTCTGATATTCACTCCTTTGTAATCAATAATGTCTTACTGGTAATTAGTTAGTCGAATGCTGTTGTACATATTTGATTACTCAGCTTTCTAATCTATTATATTACATTTTGTTAACTTTTTTTTCTCACTCGAAATCATATGACACGAAATACACCTGTACTTAGAGTAATACTTGCGTTTGAGACAGTTGTATCTCACTGTATTTATTTTTGTTACGATATTATGATCGATACAATGATTGAGTGAGTGAGTGAGTGTTAAAGGTTACTTTTCTCTATTACTCTTATGTAACAGATCTGTAGTGATTAGCGATTAGGTAATGATAATGGTTGATACACATACATACTGTTATCATTATTATTTTTATTACATTATTGAATAAACTTGAGTTTTACTCAGTAATAGTTCATTGACACACGTCTACCTGTGTGAGCATTTATGTAGGTGTTAATTTTTATTCTAAACACTATCGGATTTGTTTGTATGAATGTCAATTTATGAAGTGAGCAGAATAAAAATACACTTGTTGATATGACTATGGGAATGATAAGAATATGCGTTTACAGGGATCACTTTATTTGTTATGGATCATGTTATCTCTACTCACATTGTTGTCACTACAGCTAACAAATCATTAACAAACTATGGAAGGCAGTTTAGTATTACTTTCAGAGTTCAGACGAAAAGCATTGCTTACTTTTAGTGATGTTTTCCTAGCGGTGGGCATCAACTACATGTATAGAAAGACTGTCAGGTTTGATGCTTATCAAAACAAGCCCCCTCCAGTAAAGTTAATAAGCCGAAAATGATCGCATTGCATGCATTTCTGTCGTACACTAACTCACTGCACCCTACAGGATATATATATATATCCTGATTGGTACAGAAATGTAACATTTGAAGAAACATTTTCAAAATCACATGTAAAGACTGATTAGATAGTAATTGGAATATGATAAACATTATTTTCTATAGCATTTTTCAAATCTGTCATTAAAACTTCAGTTAAAGTTTTTAACAGTCTTGAATCATAGATTAGGATAACTGCTGAAATTTAGTAAATTTTCTGAGTTATTTAATGCATTGAGACGTGGTCCATCTGACTTTACTGTTAGTAGGTAAAGAAGCCCCAGAAGTAGATTGTCTAAATTTGTGTTATGATCGTAATCGGTGGCGGGTAAAAAAAATACGGGCGATGAATACACTGGGTGTTTACAGCTCTCCAGAAGAGAATGATGACTAAATAGCCACTCTTCAACTAGTTAATTTCCGATGTATCTTCCATTCCTTCAAAACCGGGTACATTGTGAATGAAACATTCACATAGCAGACGTGAATATACTAGGTGTCTTTGATCATGGGTATTTGAGTTTATCTCCTATGTCAGGTGGTATAATCGGGTAGGTAATATTGAGGTTAGGCGTCTAGTGCTAGGTATTATTATTGTTCCCTTGGGTTCCTAGTGGAACATAGGGCTTCAACTACACGTCTCCAATTGCTTCTGCTGTACTTTTCACCTGCATCCATGTTAGTCCATACTGTTTCAACTCTTCTTCACACGATCTCCATATCACTCTTGGACGTCCCACTCGCCGCTTCCCTTTCGGGTTCCACTCGAGCTATGGCCTGACGCGTGATGTCACCCAGCGGTCTCTCAGCTCAGCGAGTGTCCAATCCATCTCCACTTTCTCCTGCATATTTGTTGGGCGATTGGTTCTTGTTTTGTTTGTTCCCATAGTTGGCTTCTTGTTGGTGATTCTTTCCGGCGGCCATCTGATCTTCAGTATAGAACGAAGACAGTTGTTGTTGATAAAGGTGTGCAACAGGCTGTTGGAAGTATTCTTTGTGACCTGCCAAATTTCTGATCCGTATAGCAAAACTGACTTGACGTTTGTATTGAAAATCCTAATTTTGTTGTTGATGTTGAGTGACGAAGATTCCCAGATTGGTTTCAGGTTGATGAATGTGTTTCTCGCCTTTCCGATTCTCGATTTGACGTCTTCGTCGGTTCCTCCTGTAGCTGAGACAATACTCGCTAGATAAGTGAAAGAAGTAACCTCTTTCAAATCCCTCCCGTTGATGGTGATTGTCGCTGGATGTTGCAGCTGCTGTTGTTGTTGTAGGTTGGTTGCTTATTTTCATAACCTCCGTCTTGTCTATGTTCACCTGGAGTCGTCCTGTCTTTGCTGCTTCGAGTGCTAGGTAAGGAGGGGAAATCAATCGACGAGATTATGAAGTCGCACCGATTGAGATGGTTAGGAGATGTGTTACGCATGCATCCCTATCCATCGCTTTCCTCGACAGTCAATGGAAAAGAGCTAGTGGTTGGTGGTGGTCAAACCAAAACATGGCCTCATCAGCCCATGAATTCCTTGACAGTAAGTTTTTCTGTACAAAGTCCTATTTTGAAAACAGTCAGTCAATCAGTCACTTTGCTAATGGAGGGGACCATGTGAAAAGGAGATGAATGATTTTTGGCGGTCGAAGAGTCAGCTAAAAAAAAGCAGTGAACAGACTGAAATGGAGATGTGCTACTATAGCACTATGTGTCACATAGAACCCAAGGGACATAGAATAAAATAATAATAATAATGCACATTACTTAAAATTGACTTGAAATATCATTATTTCCAAAGTCATAATCATTAGTCAAATTTCATAAAGTCTGTGTTTCTGCTCTTTTAAAAATATCCATTTCGTATCCTTTTCACACCTCAATGTATGTAGTCAGAGAAATTTTGAAAAAAAAATATACAAGATATATACATTGTCAAGAGTTCAAGCGTGTTATTTCATTCGCGCTTTATAGTCACTCTATCTTAAACCATATATTACACTTTGTTAACAGTGATTTTTGAGAAATGTTCACATTGCATGACTTTTTCTTTGCAGTTGTTAGTTATCAGTAATATATGACTCATTCATTTATACCAGTTAAGTAAGAATTTTAGTAGACATTTCCAACAGATGTGCTAGTTATTTTTCTAATCGAAGAAAAATGGTTTGGTGAGTATGCTTTATTATTTTTTTTAAAAATTTAATCAATCTCTTAATCTTATGCTTATGTATTTTTCTTCTCATCACTCAGAAAATTGTCGCTGTACAATCTGCTTCCCTAGCGCTGAAAAAGAGTTGTAAATTTAGAGCTATTTTAGAAATTATACTGGCTTTTGGTAATTATATGAATAGTTCTCGACGTGGTATCGCCTATGGCTTTCGTTTGCAAAGTTTAGATGCTGTAAGTGTTACATGTTTAAGTTCAAAACTTATTTGAGGTACAATTTTGTTTATTTGTATTTTTTTGTCTTGCCTATCGTGTTGTTTGAATTTTATTCTCTTATCGTTGTTACTTAGCGTACTTCTCTTATGTGAATGGAGGGGATTAAAATTAGAGAATTCCTTAAATCTTGTTTGTTTGTTGTTCCTGTAGAAGAGAATTTAGAAAAAATGTAATTTAGCAGTCATATAAAACCAACTTTGTATATGAAGTTTTCAGTCGCACCCGTTGTTGTAGTAGTAGTAGTAGAGTCTCTAAGATAATAATGAAGGTGAAACACTTTATTGGAAATGTAATTGCCTATTAAACCATTTATTCAATGTTAAACAATATTATCTAGTTAATAGTACTACTACAACTGTGACGTGTACTACTGACAAGATTTGTGAGTAGTATATAAATGCAGATATAAATATGTATGTCAGCGTTAAGAATATCAGATAGATGGATTTAATGAGCGATACTTCAGAAACAATATGGGAAACATGATAGGAAGACAAAGAAGAACAATATGAAAGATATTTAATTGGTGGATGGCGACTAGCAGTGGAATCCAGGATAACGCGCATTTCATCCTATTTGGGACTCGTCCGCCAGCTGGATTTACCTGCATTCCCCAGTGAGTGATGAAGTTCCCATCGAGCTCGAACCCAGTGCCCACAGTTTCAAACGCCAAAGCGTTATCCACTAGACCACTTAGGCCACGAGAGCCACCTCTTGTGCAACGGGTCATATTAATTATTTGATTGAATTTTAGATTTTCCCGTCGATTGATTAGACGGAAGTGCTCACTGGGGAATGCAGGTACATCCAGATGACGAGTCCCAAATAGGACGAAATGCGCATCCTGGATTCCACTGCTAGTCACCATCCACCAATTAAATTTTAATTACATGCCCAGACATCGTCGAAGCATCTGCACAAGAAGCCGACATGTCAACCTGAGACGGAGCACTTCGGTCCAATCAATCGACGGGAAAATCTAAAATTCAATTAAATATGAAAGATATATGCGAATTGTGATTCTGCTATACGACAGACGTAATCGCGCATATCTTGTATCGAGTTATGAATAAATAATTGCTTTACCAAATTCTATTATCTTCTATCGTTACTCTACTAATACTAATCCTAATAGTAATAGTAAAATATAATATGATCTTACAAAGTTTCATAAATTGAGACTGACTTACATAATTATGACTTAATTTGACTGCTCTACTTTTAATGCGCGGTGTATAATACCAAGAGAAAATTCTATTTAATTATGTCATTACATACTAATCGATAATTATTACATTCTTTTTGTTACTCGTTTTGTTCATGTATTGTCTCGTTTTTGTTCATGCCGATCTCAATTTTATCCATTTGGCTAAAATAAATCTTTAGTTTTACTATTATTATTAAAATGTTTTTGGTTAATAAACAGTAATGGTCTGGCTTATTCATTCGTGTTTCTCTTTTGCCTTAAATTCAAAACCATCCGTCAGATAACAAATTCCTACACACTTTCGAAACATTGCCTTAAAACATGCGGTGTTTCTGGCCAGTAGTAGCCGAGATATTATATATCATGGCAGTGTTTAGTTGTGAAGATAGTTCTGAGAAAGGAAGTTCTGCTAATCAAAACACCAATTATACTTATTTTCAAGTATTGGTTTGTAGGGATTTGGTTGATTGGTACAGGATTTCATCATGAGCTGACATTGGTTAGAGAACCATTGGAAAACCATGTAACCAGAAGCTCTTGGGTTCGAACGTTAGCGGTGGGTGCGTACTGCTGAAGAGTCCCAAACTAGGACGAAACAGCTGTCCAGTACTCCCAGGTTTTCCAATGGTTCTCTAACCAATGTCAGCTCATGATGAATTATACTTATGTAATCATGCAAGGTATTATGAGGTGTTGTCATCTGTATTGTTATTAACCGTTAGCGTTCATTAAAACTGCTGTCATCATTCTTGTTTCAAGAGGTGAACTACTCCAATGGAAAGTTTTTGTTGACTTAGTGTATTCAAATGATGTAGTTCTTATCAATGAGGATTCTGATAGGAAATGTATAATCTTCTGAACCACCTTACCGGAAATATGAATATGCGTGTATTTCGTATCCATACTGTGATTTCATCAGTTTTCTCCTTTTTGTGTTTCCCTAGTGTCAGGTAGCTTACAAACAACTGTGGTGCTTAGAATCTTCTGATTATCACATGGAAATTTGTTTCCCTTTTTAAGAACTGGATTACTCTACGCTAGTCCATCAAAACCATCTCACATTTACTTTGATCGGACACTAGTCAGTCACTAGTGTAATGCGTATAGTCCTTTGTTTAGTGCAGACTGAGTTCCATCACTCAAGTTTGCAATGTAGCCGCCACCTAGGTCCAAGGCTTCCTGCCGATTGCCTCCGACCATCTAATTTCTTACGTTCATATACGCTGGCTAGTGCCGTATTTTTTTAGTCAATAATTCTTTGCATCATCCTTGAATAACTGGATTCATGCCACCAGGTCCTTCTACTTTGCCTCCCTAGATTAGAGGTGGCTTTTAAAGTCACGATTACACTTTAGAGGACCGATGTCCACATCCTGTTGAAATAGGCATTGTACGATGGAAAATAGTAGTGTGAGACTAATGCAAAGTCGAAGTTCACCGTAGTTTTCCATAAGGAGTGACAATCTTTCACTAGCCTTTTGTGTCGTTAATATATAGCTATATGTCTATTTGTGTCCATCGTTAGCTTCGTGTAACCGGCCACCAGGTGGGACAGGGTCTCTGCATATGTCTAAAATGGGTGCTGGCCAAGAACAGATAGTCGTTTGAGCAGGATTGTTGAAGATGATCATCGGTGTGGGACGCTTTAGGCTCTCCCAATAAGCTTTTTGAATTGACTGAACTTTTCTACTTGAGAAGTGGAATCTCCTAAATACACCTGTGTGTTTTGCTTTTAGCAGCAAAGGAAACAGCTTTTGATAGAAGTCATCCTTTGCTTTATCCGAACTGTAGTCGATTCGTGCGTAAGCACAGATTATGAAAATCCTTTGACCACTATGACAACGTTTCCTTATTCCTTCGGATATATTCAGCTGAGTAGCACACAGAAGACTTCCATGAGTCTGGTATGGTAACTGGTTACTCAGCAAAGGCAATATGTACTTCTCACTCTGTCTTAGTTTACATTTTCTCAAAGTGAACACAAAAAAGAATAGCAGGGTTTTGGTCTACTGTTGTTTGTACTTCTATGTTAATGTGTATACCTGTTCCTAGTTTCTCAGTTCCATTCGTGCGCTTTTTCAATACAATAAAACGTATGAAATTGATGCCATGGATTATTGGTTGTTGTAGCTTTGTCAAGAATCTAACTGTAGGTCACTCGTTTAAAGGTTAACCAATTTACGTGTTTTAGTGTGATTCTAACAAACAGCAGGATAAAGCATAAAATGCTTTGATTATAGGTTGAGTATTGGTGAATATAAGTCAATGATATGATTGGTATGGCTATCTCTGTATTTCTTCAGATTTAACACTTGTGGGTGTGTTAAGTTTTTTCAAAAGACAATCAACTAATTTTTTCACTGTTTCCGTTTGCCTATACTTCAACACTTAAGATTCAGTCAGTTATTCTATACTTTGCTTAAGTACCACGTGTGTAAGTGTTCATTTTTTTAAAAATTTCCTGGTTTTTTTTTTTCAAGTTATCTGATACACGAACTTTGGATAAATCATGGACTCTGCTGCATTTCATCGTGGAAACAATTGAAACTCAATTTCCAGCTTTGATTACTTTTGATGATGAATTAGGCAGTATTGCAGAGGCTGCAAAGGGTAAGCAACTTTATTATTTATTGTCTTTAATAGTTCAGAGACTGTTTTATAACCGTGTTTTATGTTTCACCTTCTAACTGTCTTAAATTCTCATGTGAGGTTGTTTAAAAATCTACTATAGTAGTCTATTTATGTTCATTATCAATGCGAATGTAGGGTATTAATCGATGTGTGTGTGTGTACGTTTTATGTTTTATTTCGCTTTCTCCCACGTAGTCCCTCCTCTGTTATTGCTTTGTGGTGGAAGCATAGTTCCTCCATCATATTGATTAACGTATTACAATGTTAAGTGTAGTTGTTCGAACCAGTGAGTTTAATATTGGGATTTTAAGAATATTGTACTTCCTACATGTCTTCAGTAATGTTATTCCACTGCTTCTGATATATATTAGCTTCCGGTATGGTGAAGAATATTTTTAACCAAAAACTAACCGCTAAAGCTGTAATCTACTCGTTTAGGTGGTGACCGTCGAATGCAGATTTCTCTAAATGGCACAACTTACTTGTATCCCTCTTCTTTACCATTGATTTCTTCCACCGTTTCATTAATCATTATTTCAATACTCTTTCATTGTTCTCTGTTGTTTTTCGTGTGCAAATTTTATTTATATCTGCTTCACTTTAAGGAAAATCTGATTGGGCATTATTTATTCTACTTTCTATTTTTTTTCCTTCACGTTCCCCAGTGGAACATAGAGCTTCAAGCTAGTGGCTTGAAGTTTCTTTAGCAGTGTTTATTTTACGGGATGAAGTTGCTAGCCTCATGCCCAACCTTTTCTCTTCACCAGCATTATTTCTGGCTTAGCGAGGTAAAGGAGTGCGTCAGTGGCCGGGGATCGAACCCCGGACCATGTGCATGGTCGGCGAGCGTCCTAACCACTATGCCACCGACTCACCTACTTTGTATTAAACCCCAACTATCTTTCAGAGTTGAGTGTGTTATTCAGTTTAAAATAGGTGGTAATGCAGTCTTGAAATCTGTCAGTTACGAATTGTGTTCGAATTCGCTGTGCGAATAAGTAGAGTGAGTTTATTGTACATATCAGGTCAAAATGTGTAGGATAGGAGCGCCTGTATAACTGTGTAGGTTTCTCTTAAGCATTGGTTTTCCAGTCAGTAAAATAATCTTTTTTTGCCAATTGATTCCAAAGGGACCGAGTAACGAAACTACTTGAATTCGTTACACTAATAATAATAACTACTATCAAATTGGCAATATCATGCCATGTATCACCAGTTCACCCAAGTACCTAGCCAGGAATTAGATGGTTGGAACTGACTGCTGCGTTCTCTGAGCTGACTCAAAGTAGGTACACCAGTGTTAATAACCTAAAGCCAAAAGTTAGTAAAAGCCATTGGATTTCTACTACCTCATCCAAACTGATTGACGCAAGAAGACTGATTCTGGCGAGCTCCGAATATGATGAGGAGCGAAAGCTGCTCAAACGCGAACTGACAAAAAGCCTTCGCAACGTTTGTGAACAGTAGTGGGCGACAAAAGCGAAAGAGATGGAAAAGGTATCGGTGATAGGTAACACCAGACAACTATTTAGGCTTATCAGGCAAAAGACAAACGACAATTGAGATAATCTCTGGGAAAAATGGCACCCTAATTCGCTCTCAGGATAGATGACTGGAACGTTGGAAAGAACACTTTGAGGAGCAATTTAATTGGCCTACAGCCATACCTAACTTACTGAGCATCCAACACTGAGTGGGATATAAACACCGTCCCTCCGTCCCTAACTGAGGTTACTAAAGCTGTCTCTAATCTGAGACGAGGCAAAGCAGCGGGAGGTAATGGAATGATTCCAGAGGTGTCTAATTAAGATGGAGACAATTTACTGTCTATGTTAACTTAGGTATTAGGCAACGTCTGCGAATCAGAGGAAGTCCTGTTGGGTTGCTGTAAGTCATTGGTTATCCCGGTCTACAAGAAAGGAGACAAGTCTTCCTGTGATAATCACAGGGGGATTAGCTTGACTAATATGGTATCTAAAGTTCTAGGCTCAATAATCATGCATGGACTAAGGGGTGCTTGGGAGGGACAAGCACAAGAGAACCAGGCAGGTTTTTGACTAGGATGACCCTTCGACAGATTTTGGAACATAGGCATACTTACCGGCGTCCAACAATCGTTATATTTCTTGACCTAAAGGCGACATTCGATTCCTTCGACCGAGAGGTACTATAGCGATGTTTCACTGTGAAGGGAATACCGAAAAAATACATCCCACTCATCAAGGCACTCATTCTACTCAAACTCATGCAGCCAGGGGAGGACCTACGTAGAGTTGTTATCTGAAGTTCTAACAGCTGGTGGTGTCCGTCAGCAATGTCCTTCGTCCTAGTTTCTCTTTAATTTCATCATAAATGTACTAATGGACTAACTCTAAATGACTTCAGCAACCCAGAGATCGACTTGTTGCCATCAGGGAATAATCTTCTTAACTTAGAATATACAGATGATAAAATCTTTCTAAGTGAAGACGCTGACAAAATGCAGACAGGGTATTTTGAACACTTTCAACTGAATAGCAATCTTCGAATGTTTGGCATGCGATTCACTCCCTCTGTCAAATGTTAGATGATGCTACAGCTTAAAGATAGGTAGCAGTGAGGTGGGAGAGCGTGTTGACCACTTCATTTATTTAAGAAGTTGCATCAGCTGGCTGATTGCTGACGAAAACTCAGCACGAATACATCAGCCTCGCTTGATATACTCCAACTATACGTAATATCTGGCTGTCTGTCGACCTAAGGATGTGTGAACTGCTCATCAGTAAGTTTGAGCTATGTAGGGAGATGTAGGTCACCTGGTTGGGGTCCTTGGGATGGTAAGAACCGACGGCTGGAGACAGTTGGTGATATGGCTTGAAATCGTTCTCAGTGATGCAGATTCATTCAATCTCAGTAAATTATCATATCCTATAAAACCCTTTTGTTCTTCCATATTACTATTCTTTTTCCCCCACACTGTTTATTATCTCTCTTTACTCTCTTCTCTTGCTTTATGTGCTACATGTATTGTAATAACTCAAACTGCTGCACATCCATGCATAGTTCTACGTTAAAACTAGCTAGTCAAAACTGATAAACCTGTTTCCCTAACTAGAGAGACGGCTGTACACGATGTCAGTGTCTGTGATATCCAACTACTTATATTATTCAATTAGTAGTATATACTTTTATGCATTAATAAGTGCTGTCGTTTATTATTTTGTGTATAACTAACGTCATTAAAACGCCCGTTTAGCGCTTTGTTTTTAATATTATGAACAACTAATATTGTATTATAATGTGAATTGAATTCATTCACATCATATTTCACGTGCTCTCTTAAACAACTATCAAATTGTATACATATTATTTTGAATTAAGTACACAAAATGAAATAAATTCAATTCATCCTATAATATTTGTTTGTTGTTCTTACTCTATATATATAAAAGACCTTCAATTATTTTAATTTTAATGGTAAAATGAAAAGTAACGTAGTTTAGTTTAATGGCAATATTTAGAGTGTATGTTGTACAGTTGAACAGTTGATTTTTCTCATATTAAAAGTTTGTAACAACTGTTCAGTTTATTGCGTCAAATGTTAAATGTACAAAACAATATTATACATTAAGACAAAGTATAAAGCGTACTTTTTTTTCTATTGTTTTCTATCTTGGTGGCGAATAAAAAATCATCCGTATCAGCAGTGTATGTATGACTAATACTGTTGTAATCATCAGTACCCGAAACATGTCTGATATGTACCAAGTTACATATGAGACACACTTATTGTCGGTCGGTTTTCGACATAGAGAACTTTGCACTTATGTGCGGCAGTTCAAGTCGCCACACTCCATGTAGCACACAAAGCAAGAGAAGAAAGTAGAAGAAATGCATAATATAGACAGTAAACAGAGATGTGAGACAAAGGAATAGTAATAATGGAGAACAAAACAGTTTCATTGGAAATCATAAGTCACAAGAAGTGGATGCATCTGGGCCAGCCATTGAGAACGATTTTGAGCCGTGTCATCAATTGTTTCCAACCATTGGTTTTTACCGTCCCCAGGACCCCAACCAGTCAGGAAGTCTACACCTTCCTACGTGGCTTAGACTAACTGTTGTGGATTTCATTGACTGGTGCCATCTTTTGGTTTGACCACCACTAGCTCTTTTCTAGCCTGACCCTATGTCAGCTAACATTGCCCATTGTCGAGGAAGGCGATGACTAGGCATACGTAATACATGTCCTAACCATCTCAGTCGATGTAATTTCACAGCCTCGTCGATTGATTTCCCCGCCTTACCTAGCACTCGACCGATGCGTGACCTCAATATTGCTCACCTTATTATACTACTTCACGCGGGAGATAGAACGGTGACACCGATGATCGAAGACAGCTAATCTTTTCATGTCTTCTGCTCTCAATGGCCAGGTCTCACAGCCATAAAGGAGGACGCCCCCAAAGGGCGTGTGTACTGCCCACTTATTGTGTTGCCCCCGAAATGATATTGATTGGGAGGGTTCCAAACTCAGGACCTATTGGTTGGAATTCAAGTGCTTAAGACAATGTACTGTGCTGTGTGCTACTAATAGGATTTATCAGTGGCATATAAAGAGAAGTTCATTGGCATAAAAATATCAAATAGCAGGGAGATGGATTTGACGTCAGAGAAAGCAAATGATTCAGCGTTGCGGAGATACATGGGAGACGTGGAAACGAACACAAAGAAACACAATATGAAGGATAGAAGTAGCACAATACGGAAGATCTGTGCAAATGGTGATTTGGAGATAAGTTGTACATAATTTCGCTATATAGAGTTACGAAATTTCAAGTAAACATTCCTTAACCAAGTTTCTTCTCTTCTACTGTTACAGTACCAAGTCTCTCATCGTTTAGAATGCTCTTAAGTTCTTATTGTGGATTATGGTAGCAGAACAATTATTATTGTATCAAGTTGACTCCAACCAACCAACAACAACAGCAACATCCAAC